TCTCAACATTATAAGTCTTTTGAAGGTCAAACTATTTATATTTTCGACTATTAACAACTATCTCAAGACTCAATTAACTTGTAACAGCCATAGTAGTTGTAGGAGGTGACAGGTGTAAACAACTTCTAAAGAGCAGTAAATTGGGAAAATAAGTTATCAGTTCTCATTGCTGAAAGCCTATACCCCAGTTTACCTCTGAACGAGACAGATATGGTTGGATAGCCAACAAAAAGTGAATTCAGTTTACAAAAAACAAAAGCAAGCGGGCAGTGGAGACAGGGAGCTAGCTGGCAGACAGGATGATTGGACTTGAACACAAGTCAAAAAACGGTAAGCAAAAAACACAAAAGGAAAGTAGGACAAAACTCACGGGCTGACATAGAACGCAAACTTGTGTTATGGAATAATCTGTCAGAGAAGTGGAGTCTGAGCCAGAGCTTTAAGGACAGGATGATGAGAGAATCAGATGCAGGTATGAAGCAGTGGGGGCGGGTCCCAGCTCAAAAGTGGCCAAAATGACTGCGCTGACATGCTTACAAAAAAAACCCCGGGCCGATGGGGGTGGACCCGGAATAAGAATTAGCCAATGCTAACATATAGCATTGGCAGACCTCTCGAAAACGTCTTTACAGGATGGACCAAAAGTTGGTTCTTGGCCCAAAGCTCCGTTCCACATGTGTGTCAATGCTGAGGGGGGTGGATTTTTTTGGACCAGTCTAGTTTACTCGCTGTGAATTTTTGAAGTCTCTTGTTCAAATGAATGGAGCTCGCGCCGGCTGACGCATGCGCAGATGCATTTTTTCACAATTTTCTTGTGGGCGGGATCACTCCCTGCCATTTTGGATTGCTCCAGTTGAGCACTATTTTTGGCCCATGAGTTAGAACGGCGGAGATAGGCGTGACTACGTCCGTTAATATATACAGTCTATGGTATGAACGCATCACAGCAGCAGATGAGCAAGCCACGCCCCCTCTCACACACAAGCCACGCCCCCACGTCACACTAAAGCCCTGCAAAACAGAAAGGCAGGGGGGAGGCTGAGCAATGAACCCAACAAAAATGATATTCAGAGTTTTAGTAATTTAATAGGATGAATGGTAGTGGTGGCAAGTTCAGTAGAAAAATAGATGTATTAGATAGAACCATTATTACCTGCAAACCGTACGTCATCAATCGGAGCTACTGCAAAGTGAGCTACTGTATCTAGGCTATATATATCTGTTAAAATAGAGATATTTGTTGTGTATACGAACTGATATGTCGGTGTGTGTGTGTGTGTGTGTGTGCATGTGTGTTACCACCTACAGTGAATTATTCCACCATCCATCTGTGAATTTAGACACAGAACAAGGCCACAGCATGAAATGATGATGAACTCACAGATCAATAACATGAGTCATTGTGATCATATGTAGCATCGCCCATCCAGTCAAGCTAATTTTATTCATTGGTCACACTCTCTCGCTACAATATTATTTGCAATTCAATTTATTACATGCCAGGTATAGCACTCAACGTCTGAGGCAAGCATTGGGAAAACAGCACAGAGATGTTGACATGAGCTGGATTTCATGGTCTATATTTGATCATACCTTACTCAGTTTTTAAAAAATTGAATATAGTTTGAACATATTTCTAAATCCTCCGTTAATTTGGTGCAAGTAGCTCCACGCACTGGGATGCATTGATTTTAAAGTCTAGATAACTAAATACATACACAATCTAGAATGTATTCTGGAGATTACCTTGTGATCCTTATGTTAAATTAGAATTTGGATCTGTATGTTTAAGGAGATTTTAGCATAAATTTACGACTTTAAGCTAAGGTTGGAGATTTTGATTTGATTCCTTAGTATGCTAAAGCTAGAGATGTTTTACTTGCTTCTGTATGATGCTAAAATTACAGATACTATTTTAGTAAAAGAGTTATTGTTTATTTACCTTGTGTTGTGTGCTCCTCATTCCTACTGTTCTGTAACCGGTGATGCAGCAATGAAATTCCCCCACTGTCAAACAAGTAAAGGATCTGTTAATCTTAATTTTTATTTCATTTTTTTATTTTCAATATTAATATTAATATAATAGTACAGACTTATCACATCACTGTTTTTTTGTTTTTTTACTTCAATCTTGTGCCCATTATAAATGTTATAATTGTGTCTAATAAGACATCTAAACACCAAAAGTGAAGTTGAAAAGATTAAACTTGATGCTAAATTATGCAGACTTTGTAATGCTGGAGGCCTTCCCTGTCGAAGCCCCAAAGACCGCCACAGTCAGAAGTCCTAATCCTCCCAGCGCTGCCAACAAACTATGGTTAATAATGTTGTAGAAGTAAGTGTTTTTGTTCTCACCGAGGTAATTATACCGCATTAGAGTGCAAACTTTCTTAATAACGGGTTACAACCTTGTTTGTATAATTAATGCCTCATTAATGGAGAGTCTTTAAAACACTAGAAACTCATCTCTTTCTTCTGTTAAGTGGATTTTAATTGCGAGAATAAATAAATGATCGCTAGTGTTCAGGTGGAGTCTTTCCCTGAGGCAGGTAATTTCATGGAAAAGATATTCTAATATGTTTTCACAGCCTCTATGTTCAATGTGCGTTCAGCCTGTGTTTTGATTCACTTGATTACACTTACTGGCGAGGGGGGGGGGGTTAAATTAGGATTTGGAGCGAGTGGGAAGAAGAAGATGTGAGCACACTCAGGGGAGCTCTGGATTTGTTTTTTAAATAACTCCCAAACACCACTTTCTGACATGATGAGATTTTAACAAAGCACCAAATCACTTCAGTATCTTCAGTATTTTGTCTTGATTCGTTTGACTATATTTCTATTATTTGCCTTTCTAAACTACATTGTGATGTACTTCTGCATATGCAAGTCTCACAACATAACTTTTCATTCAGTATTTCTCCTGGGAAGAATCTAAAAGTTTCTGGTGTACTAATTGGTTGTACAGACTGCAGAAATAGAAGTAGTACTAATGGGAACAGTAATGTTGCCTTAAGGGTTACGCAAAGCCTGACACCTCAGTGCTACTTTGTCTTTCTCAGTGAAAAGGGCATGAGAATAGAGAAAAGAGTAGCATTAAAATCATACACTGTAAAACATATGCAGTAAACAACAACAAAACAGTGTCCCGCATTATAAATGACATATCGCATCAAATATTTATGTATTGTTTAAAAAAATGCATTAATTTATCGTGTAATCTTTCATTAGTTCACTCTTTTTTTCCCATAATACATACAGACGCACATTTGTTTTATGACACCATCCATCCATCCATCCATCCATTTTCTTCCGCTTTATCCGTTGCCGGGTCGCGGGGGCAGCAGTCTAAGCAGAGACGCCCAGACTTCCCTATCCACACACACTTCCTCCAGCTCGTCCGGGGGGACCCCAAGGCGTTCCCAGGCCAGCTGAGAGACATAGTCCCTCCAGCGTGTCCTGGGTCTTCCGCGGGGCCTCCTCCCGGTGGGACGTGCCCGGAACACCTCCCCAGGGAGGCGTCCAGGAGGCATCCGGAACAGATGCCCGAGCCACCTCAACTGGTTCCTCTCGACGTGGAGAAGCAGCGGCTCTACTCCGAGCTCCTCCCGTGTGACTGAGCTCCTCACCCTATCTCTAAGGGAGCGCCCAGCCACTCTGCGGAGGAAGCTCATTTCGACCGCTTGTATCCGCGATCTCGTTCTTTCGGTCATTACCCAAAGCTCATGACCATAGGTGAGGGAGGGAACGAAGATTGACCGGTAAATCGAGAGCTTTGCCTTTCGGCCCAGCTCCCTCTTCACCACAACGGTCCGATACAGCGACCACATAACTGCGCACGCTGCACCGATCCGCCTGTCAATCTCACGCTCCATCCTCCCCTCACTCGTGAACAAGACCCCGAGATACTTGAACTCCTCCACTTGAGGAAGGACCTCTCCACCCACCTGTAGAGGGCAAGGCACCTTTTTCCGGTCGAGCACCATGGCCTCGGATTTGGAGGTGCTGATTCTCATCCCAGCCGCTTCACACTCGGCTGCAAACCGTCCCAGTGCATGTTGTAGGTCCTGGTTCGTTGGAGCCAACAGGACAACATCGTCTGCAAACAGCAGAGATGAAATCCTGTGGTCTCCGAACCGGACCCCCTCCGACCCCTGGCTGCGCCTAGATATTCTGTCCATAAATACAGTGAACAGAACCGGTGACAAAGGGCAGCCCTGTCGGAGGCCAACATTCACCGGGAACAGGTCTGACTTACTGCCGGCAATGCGAACACAGCTCTGGCTCCGGTCATACAGGGATCGGATTGCCCTCAGCAGAGGACCTCCGATCCCATACTCCCGGAGAACCCCCCAAAGGACACATTAATGACACATTTTGTTGTATTACTATGCTCCCCTTGTGTCAAAACAAATATAATAAAACAATGCAAAAATATAATAAATTAAAATAAAGACACAAGAACATAAAAAAAAAAAAAAATGAACAAAATGAAAATACGTATTTTATTGTAATACATTATTTAATCGGAGAAGCACTGCAGTACATCTGTGATATGTTGGAATATGAACCATCTCAGACGTCAGCATTTCACATTGGTGCTACTAAAATCTGTTTTATTCATGTACTTGTCTGGTGCGCACTGGGGGGACTTGCGCATGTATTCCAATGGGGTTTTACTGCAAATGGCAGATAAAATGAATCTGTGTCTGAAATCTGTAATTATCAAAAATGTGTGACTGGCCATGGCTATGACACACTCCAATCCGGGTTTTCATTAGTACTGAAAGATCCTGTCCGCACTATTCCTTTAGTAAGTAAGTAATTTTTATTGATACAAAGCATTTTTACAGACCAAGGTCATCCAAAGCGCTATACAGAATTTGTGATTTGTTTGTATTTTGCTTGTTTGCTTGCTTGCTTCATCAACCACTTTTACTTTCCCTGTGTACAAACAGCGCTATCTTAAAATATAATAACCTTCCCATTTTTTCCCTCCGCAGACTCCAAAATGCTGGACCGGCCGATTCCTCATGAACCTATGGGCCATCTTCTGCTTACTGGTGCTGTCCAGCTACACTGCCAACCTCGCTGCCGTCATGGTGGGGGAGAAAACCTTCGAACAAGTCTCTGGTATCCACGATGACAAGGTTAGGACCCCTCGCAAGGACAGTAAACCTGCTTCTGCATGTCATTGTCGCCATGAGCATATTGACACATAGCCTACTGTAGAGACAAGGACGAGCTAATGAGCAAAGACTGTGGCTGTTTGTGAAGGATTATGGTCCCTCCATGGCCCCGCAGCAAGGTCAAGGCACGTTGAATTTCACATGAGTGCTTTATAAAGGCATCTTTGAACCCTGGACTGTATCTATTGTCCATGATGTGTCCTGTGTCACCGGGTCTTAACTTGCTTGTGGTCTATATGCTGTGTACTGTACTGTACTTTGTAAGAGTTTCCAGGATATTTCTAGAGAATGAGGAAATTTGTTATAACATTAGGGATTGATTAAGTTGTAAAAACACTTTGGTAATCTGTCATTTTTTCAATGTTTTCTGCTGATCTTCTTTTTAATTGTTGGATGTTACAGCGTCCCATCAGCAACCAATTCATTTAGTCAAATTTGACTGAATATAGGCCTGTTATACCTCATTGTAAATCTTAGAATCTGCAGAGTTCATTTGTGCGCATCTATAATTAAGGATTCCCCAGTGGCCACTGTGATCCTGAACGCAAAATGCTGTTTATTGATTTAAATGCATGGAAGCTTTAATGGTTTACTCAACCGTTTGGTAGATCACCTTTTGAGTCAATATACTGTATCTACTTTAAGCTTGGAACTGAAATATACCTCTTTGGGGCATCTCACTTGGCATGTTTTCCATCAAACTGGATCTCAACCATTTGGTAAAGGACTATAATACAAAAAATAGGGGTAAAAAAAAAAACATATGAAAAAAAAACATTTGTGGTATTAGTGCTCCTAAAAAAAGAAAAAAATTACATTGCTCTCTTCAAAAGCAAAGTTAGTGAAAGTTAAAGGGTTAAAGAATAGTTTTTGGCTCATACATAGGTTGATAATGTTGAGCAGAATTCCATTATTGGTATTGGCTCCAACAAATTCGAATTGCTTGGGCCCGAGTCAACATTGCAGTGAAAGTCTTAATAATTAATTTGTCTTTTGCACATGACCCAACACATGTCACGCCACATGAGGCACTGGCCATGCTTCTATTGTACAAAGTATATAACCTGCGATCTTACTTACAGATAAAAAATGCACAAAGAAATGTCAACAATGACTGAGCTAGAGGTGCCCGTGTGCATTCATCCATCCATCTGCATGTACTTGGTGTTCAGAGTTTGCAACTAACCCAGAAGTCCTTCTTAAAAAGTTTAATCCTGGTCAGATTTGGTACAAGTTTCCCCATGCATGTTTTCTTCTTGTTTTGTCATGTATACACTGCAAAAAGTGATACTAAATTAGTTTTAAAAATGTTTATGCCAAAATGTATGTTAATTTGAGAACATGTTGACTGCCTTAAAACAAGATTTGCCAATGGGATAAGAAAATGTATCTTGTTTTAGAAATATACAAGAAAAGTCTCTCTTGGATTGAGAAAGCAGCAGTTTTTAAAATAAGACTAAATGGATTCGTCCCATTGGCAAATCTTTTTTAAGACAGTCAAATTAAGATAAAAACCACAGATTCAAGCAATGTTCTATGATATTTTAGTTTTTTTGCAGTGTAGCGATGTGCATTAGTAGAATTGTGCATCTTTCTTTCAGGGTAATGTTTTATATCTGCTTTAAACTTGTTCTAGACCTAGTTGTGTCCCTTTTCCAACTATATTCAGTAAAAAACTGTCCTGTGTCATCTGGCCTAGTTACAACACCCCTCCCTGGGCTTCCGCTTCGGGACAGTGCGAGAGAGCAGCGCTGAGGACTACATGAAAAAGAGCTTCCCCGAAATGCATGACTACATGAGGCGCTTCAACCAGCCCACCACCCCCGAGGGCGTGCATATGTTAAAGTAAGACACACACACAAACTTATCATTTATTATTATCCACAAAAAGGTCAGCCAATCAGGGCCACGGACGCAAATGTGCCAGAGCTGGACTGGTGTAAGATGTAGTGTGTTGTCAAAGGAGGAGGTTGTGATGCGTCACTGCACAAGCTAAGTATATGTTTTGAAATGTTTTAAAGGTCCTATATCACGCTTTTCTTCATGTTTCACACTCAATCCTATGCACATGTATGATAATAATGTGTATGATACTGTACACCACACAACAATCAAAGCTTGTGAGATTAGAGCCATCTCTTGTATAGAGCTGATCCAGAGAAGAGTCTGCTCCTCTGCCTGTGAGCCCGCCTCCCCCCGCCCGCACGGTGACGTAGCATCACGCTTTTGTCGTTTATCACCTGTACTTAGTAATTTCATACATAAGAATAAACTTTTTCCAACAATGACAATCCGTCACATCGAGCCCTATGTCCTCGATGCACAATCAGACCCTAGTTATTTAGTTTACAGAAGTATACAGCGAGTTAGCGTTACTACTTACAGATCGAGGGGGTCCGAGTTACGTCTTTTACCGTGGGAATAACGTGTTTCCAGATCAGCTTTAGAGTAAGTCCAGTTCCATTGTCCCTGTAGTTCTGGAACAGTCTCAGTGAAGTGTCGCAGATGAACCGGTATTATAATAGGTACATGAGATGAACAGATGAAAAAAGTCGAGCCGCTTTCTTCCTCTTCGGGCCAAATAGTGTGTCACATATTTACACCCATAACACACTTCATTCAAGTTGACGTGATCCTAACACTTTTAGTCGCTGACAAAAGCATAAAAAAAGCAGCTCTATGTGGTGTCCGCGAGACCAGACCACAGACGCTGGACTCGGGAGCCGGAGCCTGTGCGCTCTGATTCGCTGTTTTGATCCGTCAATCACCTCCCGCCGGCTTTTAATTTATTTTTATTTTTATTATTTTTGACAAAAAACAGCATACTAATTGTGTATTGTTTACCCCGTTTTGACAAAAGTATTGAACAACTATTTTAAATACAAAGCAAACGGGGTCATGCGCGTCATCAGTGTGGTTTTCGTCACTGAAGTGGACCCGAGCGTTTCTGTGCCTCACGCTGGGGAAGGAGACAGATTGCTCTCTTACAAAAGATTGACAGAATCAATGAATAAACTACTGTGGGCATGTGTATGAAGGCCAAATAGCATTGTAATCATGTTTAAAGCAGAGAAAAGTCAAAAACCGTGATATGGGCCCTTTAAAGTTTGCCGCTGATTCATGAAATCTCTGTTAAGGTAAATGGACAGTTTTCAGTCACACAAATTCATATCGTCTTCCGTCAATACAACATTAAAACTGATAACTTTGATATATATAACTAATAGTGCTAGTGTCATTCATACACACACACGCACGCACACACACACACACAAATCACTGTAGGCCAGAATTTTTGGTGTTCCTTCACATGTTATTTGGTTTGCCTTGAGAAATTATCCAATATCATCTACTTGGTCAAAATAATGTGAAATAAAAAAAGTAAGAAGATTAGAAATATTTTTTTGCATTTTTTTTTGTTTTCTATATGAGACACTTTGAGATTTAATTTATTTTGCTAATAAAGGCTGCCGCGTTACATGTTTGTATCAGTTTCAGCTGGTAGTGTGCCAAGTGAGTGTTTTAAATGAAAAAGGTGTGCTTAAAAAGGTTAGGTTTCATTACTATAAGCAACATGTGTTAATGGTGATGTGGATATTTCCTACTTTTAACAAAAAAATTATATTCCTCTATCTATTATTTTTTCTAATTGGTTTAACTGAATGTTTGATTTTCTAATTTTATGCTGTTAAATCAATAATTCAACCATAAAAAATAAATAGATTTAATTGAATGTGCCTATAAACAACTCCTGATGATGTTTTTTTCTATACTGTATATTGTAAATGTTATGGTGATTTCTCGTGTGGGACATATTTCCAGACTACGACTCATGCAAAGACAGGTCTTCTTCAAAACGTCATTAAATTGACCTGACACAGGACATGTCATTTGGATTTAAGTTTAGTGCTGAGGTAGACTGGATTTTTGTCATTTTCTTGTCCTGTTTTTTTTCATATAACCTTTAAGTAGCCTTTTCCTGCTTACACACTGGTCGGGCTGGCTCAGGGCCAAAAGCAAGGAGGGGAGACAAGACCGGAGGTTAAGTGTACAAAAATGAATATTTGGTAACACTTAAGATTAGCCCTCACTAATTAACAGCTAATTAAGTGATATGTAGTGTATACAAACCCGAGCCATAATCCTAACCCTAGTTCTAGCCCTAATCCTAGCCCTAATCCCAACCCTAGCCCCAATCCTAATCCATAGCCCTAATCCTAACCCATAGCCCTAATCCTAACCCATAGCCCTAATCCTAACCCTAGCCATAATCTTAATACTGATCCTAGCCCTAATCCTAACCTTTGCCCTAACCCTAGCCCAAACCTTAACCCTAATCCTAGCCCAAGGCCTAATCCCAACCCTAACCCACATGGGAAAGTGTCAGTTAGTTAGATGTTGAATAAGGTCATGGAGAATAAGGACAGAATAAGTGCTTAATAAATACCATTAAGAGATCAGTAACCATTAATTATACACAAATTAGCACTTAATTTGCTGTTGATTAGTGAGGGCTAAACAAAAGTGTGACCGTATATTTAACACAAAGAACTATGAAAAATAAGGGAATATAGGGTGTGATAATACATGCAAAGGTGAACAAGTGTGTGAAGTGTGCATCACCGCCTAAAATAATCCTAATGGACACTTTATGAAGGACATTATCACCCATGTCAAATTGCAAACCTTTTTGAAGACACATACATGAAGTTCCTCCTCCTAAACCGGATTCGCCATAAGCTTTTACAGCGCTAAAAAGACTCGTAGAGACAGTATTTGCAGTTGATTCATAGACTGACCTGTAAATAATGAAACATCCACTATAGACTTTGCAGTTCGGGGCAGATTTGAGTCAATATTAGCTTTAAACCTGCACACCCTCAGCTGATACTCTAGTCTTGGGCCAGTGTGCACGCCGTGTTTGAAGTAAAATAATAAAAGGCAGCTCATGAGGGGCGTGCCAAACCGTGGAGTGCCTATATCGTAAACAATAAGGACACAAGGGGGAACCATTGTTATTAAATCAGCACAAAGTGGACTGTGAAAAGCCAACAATACATCACGCAGGAGCTGGGCCTATGTCTCAAGTCTAATGCAGCAGTAGGAGTTGCGTGGTGGCAGAGTGGTTAGCCTCTGTTTAAGATGAGATGAGATAGTCCTTTATTTGTCCCACAGTGGGGAAATTTCAATGTCATAGTTGCGCACATTACAGCAGAGTAAAAGGTTTTCTAAAAAGCTTTTTATACTGTATCCAAAAAGATTAAGTTTTGACTTTCTAGGTAAAAAGCAAATGGTGAATAATTTAGAAAATCAAAACACTCCAAGGCCCTCGTGGTCAGTGGTTTAGAAATTATTATTATTATTAATTCCTAAACCACTGACCACGAGTGCCTTGGAGTTTTTTGATTTTCTAAATTATTCACCATTTGCTTTTTACCTAGAAAGTCAAAACGTAATATTTTTGGTTACTAAGTTATACCCCTCGCCCAATCGAGCACCTGGTCTTTTAAATAATTCTACGCACTTGTACCACGCAGCACTCCTTACCCTTCGTTTTTTTGAGAAATACTTTTTATACTGTATGTTTGAAATGTTATAATGTGAACTGATCCTGTGTGGAGTGGACCCCAGGAAGATTAACGAACACGGAAGCTGTTCAATTCAATTTAATTCATTGTATTCTTGTACAGCCCTGAATCACAACAGTAGTTATCTCAGAGGACTTAACAAAGCCGTTGAATTTGCCAACACAGATCAGAGAATCAAACACACAGAGCCATTAGTCCGTAAGGGGCAGATGACTACTGTCCATAAATGTTGTTGCATGTAAGTAATTTGTTTTTATATAGCACATTTTTACAGACCGAGGACCAATATTGAGTGTCCTGGATCATCACCATTGTCTTTTTAGTTAGACCCAGACAAGGGCCCAACAGCTAATGGGGATCCAAATAGATAAACATATTTGCAAAAGAAAAAATTAAAAACATCGGCATAAATGAAAACAATGGTCATTAAATGCACCCTGTGTCACTGGATAAAACAAGGAAGGACCAAAAGCAGAAATGAAAAATGTCACTCAAGTAAATCCAAAAGTAAAATGGGCCGACAAGAGGACAGGAGCACAGGAAGTAAAACTTAAACAACAGGAGAACGAATAGATATCAAAATAAAAACAGGTAAAAATAAATCAACAACAAGTCCTCACCATGACCCCCTGAAGCAGCCTAACCACAATGCACTGGTAATTATCTTCCCATGTGTCTCCTTGAAACCTGATAAGTGCGTGAAAATAATTATTTACCGCAACTTGGGTCAAAAAGGTCTGTCGAAAACCATAATTAACGTGTTGTTTACTTTAGCAAAGTCTGAAATTCAATTAAGTCGCCTTTTAGCCCATAGTAATTTCTGCTTAAGTGCATTTTCCCCTCTTATTTTAATCACCTGCCGACAGTGATGTTTATGATGCAGCCCCTTGGTGGATGTTTCCCTGTTATAGCGAAACAAACAGTTTACTTTTGCGAAGCCCAAAGATAGCATCTCATCACTTTGCACAGCGCATGCATTTTACTGCTGCCATTTGCATGTTTCCTTTTTATTCTAAAATATTTATGTTGTGGGTTTATATGAGGTTGAGATTAGATAATAAGTCACGTAGTCAAGTCATTTAAGTGGATTTGTTTTGCTTGTTTTTTGAGAAAGTGATGTGAAGAATGAAGATCAGGGACAAGCTAATGAATGAAAGACAATGGGGGATTGATGTGACAAAGCTATTAAGTTTGTAAAGCAATTAGATATAACAGAATTTGAGAAAACGGTTAAAAAGTTGCTGAGTAACGCGCATT